CTTCCTTTGCTGTCACTGACCGCTAGTGAAAGAATACGTGAGTGCCAAACTGTAGCCATACGAATCCTCCTAAACATTGCATCTTCACATGAGTCTGAAAGATGCCAGAGACTCAGCCCATGGCCAGGGCCTTCGTAAAGCCCCAGCCCCTGACTGGAGGGAAGGCATGGACAAAGACCAGTGGACTCCACCCAGCCCACCTGGGCAACAGGTGGTGGCTGGCATGACTACATTTTTTATTTAACCAATGCCCCATTAGAGTTCTTACCTGGGATGCATAGCAATGAGGAATATGCCAAGAATTTAATCATATTCTATGGGTCATTGGAATATGATTATGGATCATTCCACCATTTGTCTGTTAGTTTGTCATACTGTGGTGGCTTGCATGTTGCTGTGATGCTGGAAACTATGCCACTGGTATTTCAAATACCAGCAGCGTCACCTATGGTAATCAGGTTTCAGCGGAGCTTCCAGACTAAGACAGACTGGGGAGAAGGACCTGGCAGTCTGCTTCTGAAAAAATTGGCCAGTGAAAACCTTATGAACAGCAGCGGAACATTGTCTGATATAGTGCCGGAAGATGAACCCCTCAGGTTGGAAGACACTCAAAATACAACTGGGGAAGAGCTGCTTCCTGAAAGTAGAGTCAACCTTAATGACATGGATGGAGTAAAGCTATCAGGACCTTCATTTGATGATGTAGTACGACTCCAAATGATAAGAAAAAGCTTCAAACATCTATTAATAATTAGAATGTGGAATGTAAAAAATATGAATCTAGGAGAATTGGAAGTTGTTAAAAATGAAATGGAACCCTTGAAGATCTAGGTATTAGTGAGTTGAAATGGACTGGTATTGGCCATTACGAATCAAACAATCATATGGTCTGCTATGTCAGGAGTGACAACATGAGGAAGAATGGCGTTGCATTCATTCTCAAAAAGAACATTTCAAGACCTAACCTGAAATGACAACACTGTCGGTGATAGGATAATATCCATATGCCTACAAAGGAGACCAGTTAATAGACATTATTCAAATTTATGCACCTACCACTAATGCCAAAGATGAAGAAATACATAATTTTTACCAACTTCTGCTGTCTAAAATTGATCAAACATGCAATCAAGATGCATTGATAATTATGGGTGATTGGAATGCAAAATTTGGAAACAAAAGAAAAGGATTAGTAGTTGGAAAATGTGGCCTTGGTGAGAGAAAGGATGCCGGGGATCTCATGATAGAATTTTGCAAGACCAGCGACCTAGTCATAGGAAATACGTTTTTTCGACAATATAAATGGTGACTATACATGGACCTTGTTGGATGGAATACATAGGAATCAAAGCAACTACATCTGTGGAAAGAGAGGGTGGAGAAGCTCAATATTATCAGTCAGAACAAGGCCAGGGCAGACTTCAGAACAGACCATTAATTGCTCAGATGCAAGTTCAAGCTGAAGCTGAAGAAAATTAGAACAAGTCCTTGAGAGCCAAAGTATGGCCTTGAGTAAAACTCACTTGAATTTAGAGACAATCTCAAGAACAGATTTGACTCATTGAACATTAATGACCAAAGGCCAGAGGAGATGTGGGATGACACCAAAGCAAAAGGTCATTAAAAAGATAAGAAAGAAAGAAAAAACCAAAATGGTTGTTAGAAGAGACTCGGAAACTTGCTCTTGAACTTAGAGTAGCCAAAGCAATTGAAAGAAATGATGAAGTAAAAGAGCTGAACAGCAGATTTAAAAAGGCAGTACGAAAAGACAAAGTAAAGTATTATAATTAAATGTATAAATACCTGGAGTTAGAAAACCAAAAGAGAAGAACATGCTCAGCATTTCTAAAGCTGAAAGAACTGAAGAAAAATCCAAGCCTTGAGTTGCAATATTGAAGGATTCTATGGGCAAAATATTGAACGACGCAGGAAGCATGAAAAGAAGATGGAAGGAATACACAGAGTCGCTGTACCAAAAAAGAATTTGTTGACGTTCAACCATTTCAGGAGGTAGCATATGATCAAGAACTGATGGTATTTAAGGAAGAAGTCCAAGCTGCACTGAAGGCATTTGTGAAAAACAAGGCTCCAGGAATTGATGGAATACCAATTGACATGTTTCAACAAATGGATGTAATGCTGGAAGTACTCACTCGTCTATGTCAAGAAATTTGGAAGACAGCTACCTGGCCAATGGACTGGAAGAGATCCATATTTGTGCCCCGTCCAAAGAGAGGTGATCCAAGAGAACGTGGAAATTATCAAACAATATCATTACTATCACACACAAGTAAAACTTTGTTGAAGATCATTCAAAAACCATTGCAGCAGTACATTGACAGGGAACTGCCAGAAATTCAAGCCGGATTCAGAAGAGGACATGGAACAAGGGATATCACTGCTGATGTCAGACGGATTTTGGCTGAAGCATAGAATACCAGAAAGATGCTTACCTGTGTTTTATTGATCATGCAAAGGCATTCAACTGTGTGGATCATAACAAATTATGGGTAACATTGCAAAGAATGGGAATTCCAGAACATTTTAATTGTGCTCATGAGGAACCTGTACATAGACCAAAAGGTAGTTGTTCAAACAGAACAAGGGGATGCTGTGTGGTTTAAAATCAGGAAAGGTGTGTGTCAGGGTTGTATCCTTTCATCACACTTATTCAGTCTGTATGCTGAGCAAATAATTCAAGAACCTGGGCTATAGGAAGAAGAACTCAGGGTCAGGATTGGAGGAAGACTAATTAACAATCTGCAGTATGCAGACGACACAACCTTGCTTACTGAAAGTGAAGAGGACTGGAAGCACTTACTGATGAAGATCAAAGACTACAACCTTCAGTATGGATTACACCTCAACATAAAGAAAACAAAAATTCTCACAACTTGACCAATAAGCAACATCATGATAAAGGGAGAAAATATTGAAGTTGTCAAGGATTTCATTTTGCTTGTATCCACAAACAACGGCCACGGAAGCAGCAGTCAGGAAATCAAATGACGTATTGCATTGGGCAAACTTGCTGCAAAAGACCTCTTTAAAGTGTTAAAAAGCAAAGATGTCACATTGAGGACTAAGGTGTGCTGACCCAAGCCATGGTATTTTCAATTACCTCATATGGATGCGAAAGCTGGGCAGTGAATAAGGAAGACAGAAGAAGAATTAATGCCTTTGAATTATGGTGTTGGCCAAGAATATTGAATATACCGTAGACTGCCAGAAGAATGAACAAATGTGTCTTGGAAGAAGTACAGTCAGAATGCTCCTTAGAAGCGAGGATGGTGAGACTTTGTCTTATGTACTTTGGACATGTTATCAGGAGGTACCAGTTTATGGAGAAGACATCATACTTGGTAAAGTGGAGGGTCATTGAAAAAGAGGAAGACCCTCAATGAGATGGATTGACACAATGGCTGCAACAATGGGCTCAAACATAGCTAGATTATGAAGATGGCGCAGGATTGAGCAGTGTTTTGGAATCAACTCGATGGCCCCTAATAACAACAACAACATGGGTCATTAAAAAATTTGCAGAACAGTCTAGTCACCACCAAGTACCAGCATATGCACGTGTACGCATCAAACCTTGATTCCAGCTCCTTTTCTTGCTGACAGGAGCAGAATGTTCTTTACTCAGAGGTGGGTAGGTCATTTATTGTCTCCATGCTGCTGAGCTGAGCTGTCAATTTCCCCCCATTTCAGTCCACTTGAAGTGCCTGGGTGATGCAAATGGTTAAGCTGCTAACCGAAAGGTTGGAGGTTCGAGTCCACATAGAGGCACCTCGGAAGAAAAGTCTACTTTTGAAAAATCAGCCATTGAAAACCCTATATTCTCATACACATGGGGTTGCCATGAGTCGAGGTTGACTCGATGGCAACTGGTGTTTTGAATCCATTCTGTTCTCCTGGGGGCTTTCACAGCTGTGTGGCTGTGCTTACATGAGGGAATATCCCCCATTTCCTTTCTACTGCACTTCTTTCTTTCCTAACCCTTTCTTTTCAGCATTTCCTCACTGCCACACCCTTCTCCTCTCTTCTCAGCTGCGTGTTCCTTGCATTACATTCTCCTCTGGACGAAGGGCTACAATCAGACCCTTTGCCGCCAGCTGGTAAGGGTGTGTTGTGGATCCTGGACTGGGCTGGTCACGTTTTTCAGGCTCATTCTCTGTCCAGTGGGCGGGGAATTTATCTCCCTTGTAAAGCCTTGATGACCAAACAAAAAAGCTGAATAAATAGAATTAAGATTCCCAAATGGAAAGAGCACAGGTTCCTGTATAGGTGAGTATCGAATCTTATCAGAGTCTCAAGTCCAGCTCTAGGACATACACTTTGAAAAATAAAGTTGAACTAGATGGTATAGTGGTTAAGAGCTCAGGCTGCTAACCAAAAAGTAGGCAGTTTGACTCCACCATCCACTCCTTGGACGCCCTATGGGGCAGTTCTACTATGTCCTATAGGGTCGCTATGAGTCAGAATCGACTCGACGGCAACGGGTTTGGTTTTTATGGTTTTATTGGTGGTCCAGTGGTAGAATTCTCACCTTCCATGCAGGAGACCTGGGTTCAATATCTGGCTAATGCACCTCATGTACATCCACCACCCATCTGTCAGTGGAGGCTTGCATGATGCTATGATGCTGAACAGGTTTCAGGGGAGCTCCCAGACTAAGATGGACAAGGAAGAAAGGCCTGGTGATCTACTTCTGAAAATCAGCCTATAAAACCTTATAGATCACAACAGTTTGATCTGCAACTGATCATGGGGATGGTGCAGTGTTTCTTTCTAACGTGCGTGGGGTCGCCTAGAGCAGGGAATGTGGGCTTCTGAGTCCAGCCCCGTCCACTGCTTGCCTGACTTAAGAGACCACTCCAAGCTCAAGTATCTAAAAGAGGAGCGTGTGGGCCAAATGTGGGACATGAGTGCTGACTGGCTGTTCGGTCTAGAGTTGACACTGGTGTTCTGCACCATGTACTTACCAAACGCTGTTTTAGTTTTAGGAACCCTGGGAAATTCTTCCCAAAAGGCTCTGCATACAGTGGTTATCGTGTTCCTGGTCCTGAGTTTGCTCACCTTGCTGCCGAGTGGCGGGTGTACTTGCTACAATAGCATCAGCAACCCCTACCACACGATCTTGGGCCCAATGGGAGTGTACATCTGTAATGGGCTCAGCGGTGAGTATTCTGGAGAAGAAACGCTGCTTGGCGGAAATCCACGTTTCCTTCCTCACTCTCTCTGCCTCTGTCAGACTCATGGACACAAGATCGTGTCCATGTCATGGGCGGTTATGAGGCCCTGCTGTGTCCTGGGCCTGGTGCTGGGGGCTGACATTTATTTTTGTCCACCTACAGCAAATAGTAAGCATGTTTTGGAAATAGAATTCTGTGTCAAGTGCACTGGAGTAGGATGAGGAGGGGGCGTTAGAATATATAACGCAGGGCACTTCCGGCGTTTGAGTATGGAGTGTGAGGCATTAGACTGCTGTTGTTGTTAGGTGCCACTGAGACAGTTCTGACTCCTGTCAACCCTGCCTGGTCCTGCACTATCCTCACAATCCTCTTTATACTCGAGCCCATTGTTGCAGCCACTGTGTCCTCTTTTTCGATGACCTTTTACTTTTCCAAGCATGCAAGGCATTAAACTAAGCACACGTAAATCAAGGAAACACTCACTTAGCCCCTGCATGTCCTCAACTCCACAACAGGCTCCGTGAGATGTACAGAAGTACACAACGCACACACATACACACACACGTCTGCCCACATATACACATGTGCACACCTAAACACAGTGTGCACAACTACATGGATGTACACACACACGTGTGCACACAGACACACGCACGTACGTGTACACACCTGCACACAGTGCCCACAACTATGTATGTAAGTACACACACATACACACACCTGACCATAGTCAATTTGGGCTTAAATCCACACATGACATGTCTGCATGGTTGTACCAGAGAGAGCCACAAATAATGTGACTTAGGAGAAACGAGGGCCAATGGCCTTCTCGTGGGCCCCCCATGAGCCCCGGGTGGCTGCTACATTATTCTCTGTGTTAGCTGGCAGGGGTGCTGGCGTGGAGGATGGAGCTGCATGGCAGTGGACCACATCCTTGCCTCGCACCTGCCCAGAGTCAGGGTCGAGGTCAGTGGGGTGCCCCTTCACCCGTCCAGCCTCCTCTCCCAGGCAGCCTGGCTTCTCCTGCTCCCTTGCTCTCTCCCTCACCATGCAGCTGGTGGACGGTGGCTGGAAGGGGCTCCGTATCTCTGCTACAGCTACCAAGGTGGGTGCCGGTGAAGCTCAGCCACCAGCTGTCTGGGCAGGGGAGCCCTGACTTGTAGCTCTTGCCGATTCGCGTGGTGTAAATGCTTCCCCTCGGTCATTTCCAAGCTGCCAGTGTAAGGCACTGAAGGCAGACTTGAGAAGAGCTGCCGCGAGCAACTCCAGGACAGCGCAGGTCTGAGGACGAACCATGTACCCTAATCAGATGGGGCACTTGAAGACGGGAGACAGCACTCATACCAAATGAGCCAGGACTGCGGTGGAACCTGGGACTGGCCCAGGCCGACCTGGGCATATGGTCACATTACAGACTCACACCTCGGCTCCGGCGAGCTTGGCGGCAGGCTGATCTAGCCACGTTCATACATGGACAGCCTTTGCCTTACTTTCTGAGCTTCCACTACCACCGCCAATTGCCATGGGGTCAACCCCCTGTGTGTCAACGTAGAACCGTGCTCCGTAGGGTTTCCAATGGCTGGTTTTTTGGAAGTAAGTCACCAGGTCTTTCTCCGAGGCACCTCTGGGTGGGCTTGAACCTCCAACCTTTCGGTGAGCAGCCAAGTGTGTTAACCATGTGCACCACTCAGGGACTCCATCTCCTGGTGGTAAAAAAGAACCAATCCCCAAAGTTAATGAGCATCCTCCTGAGTCAGGCGCACAACCGAAACCAAAACCTGTTGCCATCGAGTCGATTCCAACTCATGGCGACCCTATAGGACAGAGTAGAACTGCCCCATATGGTTTCCAAGGAGTGCCCGGTGGATTCAAATTGCCAACATTTTGGTTAGCAGCCGTAGCTCTTAACCACTATACCTCAGTCTGGTTGAGTGTCAGAAGGTGGAGGGACTTGTTACAAACTCACACGTCCTGACCCCAACACGGGGCTTCCTTCCCTGAGGTATTTACCCAAAGACTGGGCTTCGTTCACTGAGATATTTCTATAACTATAGCTTGTCTCAGTCAACTAAACCAAAGGCACGACCATGTGGGCTATTTGCCGGGGCAGAAACCAGATTGTTTTCCTGTTTGTTGTTGCCCATCAAGCTGTCCAGCCAGGCGAAGCAGTGGCCTCGGATGCAGCTGGACTCAGGATCTCCGGCCATGCCGTCAGAACTATCTCCTTCCATCGACCCATCTCTTGACGTCCTTAGCGTTCGCTCTGCTTTCAAACAGCCAGGCTCTGTCCTTGTAAAGGCACGACACCTGCCAGAAGCTCTAGGCCCACACCTGATCCAGCAATCCCGGGAGCCAAGACTTCTTTCTTGGTGGTTAAGCAAAAGTCCTGGGCCTGTTTCCCATGGGAACTACGCCCTCAATCCCTGAACCTGTACTGCGACCAGGAGCTGAATTCACGGATGGGCATGGCTGAGGTCATCTCCCACCCTGGAACTGGGGGGCTGGGGCTGCCCCTCCCCAGCCAAGAGGTGAGAGTGGGCACTTGTACCAGGTCGAGGGGACAGGGTTTGGGGCTGGTGAAGCAAATCAGCCCAGCATTGCCCATGCCTGTGGCCTCCCCGGGCTCGAAGCCCACCACTTCATCACATCAAGAAGGACACAACAGATAAGGGGGATGGCTGGACAACATGATGAGCATAACTAACATCCCTGAAAAGTTCCCGTGAAAATGTTGAAAAGGCAAACGACTGGTTACATATATATATACAGTTACAAATTTCAATTACAATTACAATTTCAAAAAGGAAAAAAAAAAGGAAGGGAACACTGTTTCCCGCAATGCTATCGCTTCTACCTCTCTCTCCTGCCCTTGTCAGGGAGGGCAGGCTGACCTTGCATGTGGCGAAGCCCACAGCATGTTTGTGGGGGAAAAGCTGAATAAATGGGGCCAAGACAGCCTTCTCTCCACCCCCATCTACCCCTCAGAACAAAGCATTGTTTGACAGCCAGGGAGTTCATGCCACATTCCTTCCTCCAGCTCAGGGGCAAGTTCTGACCCACACAGAGGGGACACTAGGTGGGCGGAAAATGACCTGAGACATCGGCCTGGAGGAACGACTTTTTCAGCCGCTTGGCTCTGTCAGCCTCCTCTCCATGCCCCTTTCATAACCCCCGGATTTGGGTGTTTTATGAGCAGGCTTTGCCCTGAGTTTGGTCTCCGGAGACTTCTGGTGTTTCTTCCCACAAGCTGGGAGGGTGCGAGCACTTCCAAAAACCACTCAGTTAACACAGAGCTCAACGCGGAGGGCTGGGCCTTCAGAAAGTCACTGTGACCAAGACGCCATTGAAGTGTCCTTGCCTCGGGCCACTGAAGCTGGAGGGCACAGGCTGGGTCAACTTCTGGGGTGGCCTGAGCCGGAGGGAAGTATACGATCCTTCAGGTGCTGGGTTGGGGGTTCGAGTCCACCCAGAGGTACCTGGGAAGAAAGGCCTGGAAATCTGCTTCCGAAAAATCAGCCACTGAAAACCCTACGGAACACAGTTCCACTCTGACACACGTGGGTCGCCATGAGTCACAGTCGCCTCGACGGCAACTGGTTTGGTTTTTAGTGCTGAGCTTTGGGAAACTCTCCTTGGCTGGCACACACAAGGGTAGGGTCCCACAGGGAAGAAGACAAGGTGACTTTATAGCTTGTTTCTGATGGAACAGAGTGGATTCTGCTTTGAGGAGGAAGAACAGCAGCAGCCCTTCTCAGGCTCATGTGTCCTCTGACCCCATCTTGCCCTTTGCCCCACACAGGCCTGGTGGTGGCTGGACCCTGGCAACAGGGGGAATGATGGTAAGCATAGAGAATGTTGGAGCCAGAGAGGACCTTGCAGACTGTTGGATTCAACATGCTTGTGCCTCAGAGAGCAGAAAGTGACGTGGAGATCACATCCCAAGAGGGACCAGCAGGACGGGAAGCCCTTCCCTCTACCACACGGCTCCCTCCGACCCCTGCAAGTCCTTTGTCCCCGAAAGCTGGAGAAAGCAGGCCTTTAGAGGCAGCCGAGACCAGGGCCCTGGGCATGTCGGCCCCTGCTGGGACTCAGGCTGGCATTTGTGTCTGTGCTGGCCCTTCCCAATTCAAATCAAAGCTACGGGCATTCCATTTCAGAAAAAAGGTTTAAACCTGTATTCATCCTGCCCCTTCATGATGAAGCTTTTCTAGGACACTTCACAAGGGCCTCAGGAAGGAGAATTAAGGCGCTTAGAGACCATCAGAGGGTGGGGGCCTTCGCACACACAAGTTATTAGGAAATAAAACCGCGAGACTGAGAATGAAGGCCGCCAGCAAGCAGGGTGGGAGCGGTCCCCCGTGCAAGCCCTCCGATTCGGCCCTCTCGGAGGACCGTTTGGGAACTTCTGAGGTATGGATTGCAGGCATGTCGTTAGTTGTGGGTGAACGTCGGCAGTGGGGAATCACACTGAGTGTGTCCTGAAGGACTTCTGTCCTTGGCATCCCGGACGGCCGTCAGCACCGGGCACTTGAGACAGTCAGACCTGCCTTGTCCTGAGTCCTGTAATGCCAGCTTTCTTACTCCCCTTTGAAGAAGAGGAGTGGGGCCCAGAGAAGTTAAATACCAACTCCCAACCTCAGGGTACAGCCGGGTATTGAGCCCTGCTCTGTCTGACTCCAGAACTGCGTTCTTCTAACCGGGCCGCGGGGGCTTCCCAAAGTGTCTACTGTCTAGTCATCCAGCGCTGCTGTAACAGAAACACAAGTGCACGGCTTTAACAAAGAGAAATCCAAATTCAGGGCGTCAGCTCCAGGGGAAGACTTTCTCTGTCAGCTCTGGGGGAAGGTCCCTGTCATCAGTCTTCCCCCGGTCTCACACCCACTCTCTCACTCACTCACTGTCTCACTCACTGTCTCACTCACTCACTCACTCACACACTCACTCACTCACACACTCACACACTCACTCACACACACACACTCACTCACACTCTCACACACTCTCTCACACTCACACACTCTCACACACTCACTCACACACTCACTCACTCACTCACTCATTCACCTACTATGCACATCACCCCTAGCAGTGGGCTATATGATCTATCTTTCTCTTGATTTAGAATTTTCACTGTGACTACTTCTGAAAGGATTTGAGCAGAGTGTTTGCTCCTGCCTTACACAATCTTCACCATTTAACACTTGTAACCTAGTTTGTGCTTTACATTTCTTTTGCATTCTCCCTAATGCCTAGAAGTGTGTAAACCTCGGTGTAAGCGCGCATAGAGCGTACAGCCCATAAAGAAAATAAGTGACATTAAATAAATGTGTTGCCATGTCATTCATGAAACTTCATCCTTTTTTCAGGGTGCTTTATTTTTCTGACCATGATACTGTTTGTGGTGAACACGCAGAACAACCATCTGTCAGAGAAGCTGTCCCAGGCGTTCTACCCAACGGTCACTCATAAGGGAGCAACCCACAACTATGGATACTCATTTTGGCTCATGCTGCTTGTCATTCTTCTAAATATAGTCACCATACTCATCATGGTTTTCTACCAGAAAGCCAGATACCAGCAGAAGAAGGAACAGAGGAAGCCGATGGAATATGCCCCAAGGGATGGGATTTTATTCTAAAGAAGTATTCTACATCAGCTCCCTGAGCAGAGCTGCTCCGCTTGTTGGGACGATCAGCCTACTGAAGTGAAGCCCCGGTGACTGTCATTTTGTGACCACTTTTGTATCACACGACATGAGGTCCTTCATAAATAATCTACCCTATGAAGAGTCTCCACAAGGCTGAGGAAGGTGAATGGGAAAGGGTCACCATGCCCTACAGCGTACAAAGTGGTAGCGTGATTGAGTCTGTGCACGCTGTGGACCTGGCCATGTTATTTAAAATAATAAAGATTTGTGTTATGCACCTTTCCTTTGGGTAACCCAAAGCCCCTCACCACCTATGATCTCACTGTCCTCAAGGGGAACCAGGTAGTTTTATTTCACTCAATGAATGAAGTCTTTTAGGTACAGAGGGATTTAGAACTTGTCTCTAGGACCCTGTGTTGGAGGCAAATGGAAGGATTTAGGGGTGCATGACCTGGTACTCTGGATTCTCAGTTGATGATGTAACTCAAACCCAATGTTGGGTAGAAGCACTGAATATGTGATCTGCAAACCTATTTTTGAGATTCCAGGTTGGGTTTTTAGAAGGAAGAGATGAGGAAGTGGGAAGAGGCTCAGAGAAAGAGAAAAATTACAGCCCTGCAGTCTATATGCTAAGGGGGCTAAATGCTATATTTTTGGTTGAAAAGGATTGTGGGGAGTTGAGTCAAACGGGAAATGACATATTGTGGGAAGTTCTAGCAACCCATCGACACCATCAACCAGCCCTCAGCTAGTAACTGTGGCGTAGGCACAGGTGTAGGTGCTGAGATGGCAGTGTATCCTTCTTCAGCAGAACTCTGCTCCACTGGAGGCTGAGGAAGACGCGGGCGAGGACGCGATGGTTTGCAGGATCCCCGAGGCAGGACCAGGGCAGACAGTGGAATCCAGGCTTTGGGTTGCCCTTGAAAAACAGGTTGGTGAATCTGGCTCACAATTTCATGAGAAGACAGCAGGCAGTGAGAAAAGTAAAAAATGGCGCCAGTATGGATTCCATCTACTTTGCCGGTAGGATATTTTCCCAGAAAATCATTTTTGAGGACTTTTTAAGCTTGAATATCCTACAGGTTAGCCAAGTTGAACCTCGACAGGATTCTGAAATAACCACCTTTCATGTCCTGATGGAACCAGAGTCAAAAGAAGCAGAATTCCTGTGGTGTACTTCACAAAGCAAAAGCACTTTGGGCAAAAGATGCACCATTTATAAAGCTGTCAGTGATTAGTGGCCTCAGTGCCCTGTTATTTTTTCATGATCTGCCTTAGAAAAAATATTTTGCTTTCAAGTTCCAGCGAAGTGGTGGATACCACACTAATCCAGGAACTGGTCCCACAGAACTTCCTCTCCAACAGTCAAGACAGTCATTTGAAAAGTAACTACTAAATTCTGCTTAAGATAGTGAGCCACAAAATAGTGAGTTCTCTATGACCGCTCACCCCAAAGCCCTACTAATTCAAGGATGTCTTAAGAACTTATTGAGAAAATTGGAACATGTTAAAAATATGATCATCAACAACGAACACTTTCTAAGTTCTTAGAAGTTATGAGCATTTCTGTTCTCTTAGGTTTGAATCTGTGGTACATTTTGATAATGTGGACAAGTAATTAAGAGGAAACAGATACATGTAACAAACCCATGCAAACAATTGCCTGCTACACAGACACAGTATATTAGCACAAATGATTTAGTGTAATGTAAGGACTGTATGTATTCATCCCAGCATTTGAGCAGAGAGTGCCTTCTTTAGGAGAAAAATCATCTCAATCCATGTCTCACAGATGGAAACATTTAGAATATAGGAATCAGGTAAATGGAACTAAGTTTCCCAATTTGGGAGATGAAGATAATGGCCTTCTATCTTAGGCTGGGTTCTCTAGAGAAGCAAAACCAGTGAAACATATATATATATAGAGAGAGAGAGAGAGAAAAAGAGAGATTTATTTCAAGGAAATGGCTCATGCAGCTGTAGAGGCTGGCAAGTCCCAAATCTGTGGGTCAGGCATCAGGCTGGAGGCTTCTCCTGACTCATGTAGTTGCAGGGACTGACGCACCCCAAATCAGCAGATCAGATGGCAGGCTGCTGGCTCATGGGGCTGCAGGAGCTGGTGAATTCCAAAATCTGCAGGTCTGGCTGACTTCCCAAGAACCAGAGGTCAGATGATGATGAGTCGGACTCAGGATCGAGAGCGAGCAAGCTTTGCTAAAACATTCATACATATTGGCTGCAGGCCACACCCCCCCCCCCAAGGAAACTCCCCTTTCAACTGATTGGCTGTTCACATCGGATCACAAAATTGAGGATGATTACGTAGTATCTGCCAAACCACTGAGAATCATGGCCTAGCCAAGTTGACACATAACCTTAACCGTCAGACTCTTTTAATATGTTTTAAGGGGGAAGGTAACAAAACTGCCCAGGACACCTGCTTGGAGGATCAATCCTTTCTTGCCCAAGAGTTTCTGTTGGGTGGAAAATTGTCCATGATAAGAAATAGTGTTCATAATTAACATGACCTCTCCAAACAAAGACGCTGGATGCCCTCCAGCCAGAGTTAATAAAGAGCCAGTGCTGGGGTGGGATTTGACATTGTTGTCATGGAGAGGACAGCCGGAGGCCAGCCTGCCTGCAGAAGGTAGGTACGAAGCCTCTACACACTCCCCTGTGTGGCTTACTAAGGAGGAGGCAGAAATGATGGAGAACGTTCTCCTGTTGGACCTGGCTACTGTGCCTGGCCCAAGCCACGGTGTTTACAATCACCTCATGTGCGTGCAAAAGCTGGACAATGAATAAGGAAGACCAAAGAAGAATTGACGCCTTTGAATTATGGTGTTGGTGAATAATATTGAATATACTATAGACTGCCAGAAGAATGAACAAATCTATTTTGAAAGAAGTACAGCCAGAGTGCTCCTTAGAAGGGAGGATGGTGAGACTTTGTCTCACGTACTTTGGACGTGTTATCAGGAGGGACCAGTCCCTGAAGAACGACATCATGTTGGGTAAAGTAGAGGGTCAGAGAAAAACAGGAAGACCCTCAACGAGATGGATTGACACAGTGGCTGCAACAATGGGTTCAAACATAGCAATGATTGTGAGGATGGCGCAGGACCAGGCAGTGTTTCGTTCTGTTGTACGCAGGGTCGCTATGAGTCAGAACTAACTCAACGGCACCTAACAATAACAACAATAATGTGGTGTCAAACTACAGTACGATTAAAACTTCTGTCCTCACACAGTTGGGAAACACTGGGTAAAAGCTTGCTCTCTGCCTTCACACACCCATAGACAGGGCCCCCAGTGCCCCCAAAAGTCTTCCCCACGTGGTTAGCATGGAAACCCTACTCAGAGTGAGAGAGCAGTGGGGGTCTGCACGGGAAGGTGACTTGAGGTCTTGGGGACAGCGGCTGCCTTCTGCTCCCACCCTCTAAGACATCTCAGATGGGGAAGAAGGTATGAGATATGGAGGGTGGTGGGTTCAAGGGCCTTCCTTAGGTTTTTAAAATAAATAAATAAGGCAATAAAGAAGAAAAAGAGACATTTGCACACACGCTTCATCAGCCATTGACATGCAGGAAGCAGTGGAGTGGGGTGTTCACTGCCAGAATCTGAGGTCACACGTCCCTGTGTGTAACCTGGCCCTGCCCCAACTAGCTGTCTTCTCTGCGAATGAACCTCTGAGAATTAAAAATGTTAAAGCTCTGTCATACTCTCTTCTGATTTTTTTTTTACATTAAAGAAATAAAATATTACTAAAAGTAGGAGGGGGGCAGTGGTGGTTCAGGGGTAGAATCTTCATCTTCCACGTGGGAGACCCGGGTTCCATTCCTGGCCAATGTTGTCTCATGCGCAGCCACCCCTGCTCGATCAGTGGAGACTTGCGTGTTCCTATGATGCTGAACAGGTTTCGGCTGAGCTTCCAGACTAAGACGGACTAAGAAAAAAGGCCTAGAGATCTACTGTTGAAAATCAGCCAGTGAAGCGCAAGGGTCCAATCCCCCACCGATCATGGGGATGGTGCAGGACCGGGCAGCCTTTTGTTCTGTTCTGCATGGGGTCGATGAAAGTCAGGGTCAGACTTGACAGCAGCTAACAACATCATCAAAATAATGGAAGTCCCCTTTCGACCCCCCCCACCCCGGCCCCATTCCCCTCCCTTCCTCGCTAAGGCAGCCATCATCATGGATTTTGTCTTTCCAGTCCATGTCTTTCTTGCATTTCTCATTTAATGGTACAAGAACTCCATGAGAGTGTACCATTAGTATCTCCATTTGACAGATGAGCAAACTGAGGTCCACAAAGGTCAAACTCGAGCTACCCAGGGTCGAGAAGCCGTAGGTGGAGACAGGGGGTGGGGGGCCCCGGCTTCTCTGGCGGGCTCCGTGGAACGCTGCCTGCCTTAGCTTCTTGCTGTCAGTCTGCTTCTTCAGCCCCCCTCTATTTCTCCGACAAGCTTCTTTGGCTCAACCTCACAGAGGATCTCATTACTGTTTCCATGAAAAGAAAGTTGTGAATAGCATTAACAGTGAATACGTTACACGCAGAAATCTCAAAACATCTCCAGAATTTTCCAGGAAACGTTTGTACAGTCCTAAAGTAATTTTATAAATCCTTTTCTAAAAGGTGAAAAAATTGCTATTCTGAACCGCGTGAGCATACAAGCTAGATTTCATAAGTAGAACTCTACTAATTCTCACTTCACAGACCTGCAAATGTCACAAATCTTCCAACAAGCCTTCACAATTTTACCAGAGGCGCGAAGCGGCTCGGCATCTGAGACACTCCACCACTAGAGAAAAGCGGCCCTTTTTCTTCGAGCCGTGAGCCATTTGCCACAAAAGGCACTCTTGTGGCGTCTCTGTGGGAGCCTCGGACCTCTCCCAACCCAGATGCCTCTCCCCTACTCGCCCCAAGAAACCAGCTTCCGAGCCTCGGGGACGAGTCACCATGCCGCATGGTTTCTCTTGAGCCCCAGTATC